TCCCCAAGCCCTTGTGGGGTGTCTGGAGGGGTCCCCACTCCCCTGAGGGGGTCTCTAGGGAGTCCCAAAGCACCCCAGGGTGCTCTGTACCCCCACACAGGAGCTTTTTCAACCAGGGCTGAGCCAGACCCAAGGGCTGCATTAATATCTTGAACATCTTGCCCCCCCACCAAGTGCACACCCCCTCCTGGACCCCCATGAGTCCCCACCACTCTTTGAACTCCCCCCGTCCCCCCAAGCAGGGCTGCACCAGCATGGGAGAGAATAACACAAAAGCATTTATTTCTCCAATAATAAAACCATTTCAGGAAGCACAGGTGAGAGATCCCAGCGGGTGGGCCGAGGCTCCCTAGGACTCCTGCAGCCAGACCCAGGGTTTTTCCCCCCCTCCTTCCCTCATCATGGTGTCAGGCATTTCACACCAGCATCCTCGGCATGGCCACAGTTGGTCTTGCCCCAGCTGGAGAAGCTGCAGTGCAGAAGACTTTCCTCTGTCCCCTTGCAGGAGACGTCGTCCATCCAGATCCTCCCTGTGCCTGCAAAAAAAAAACACCCAAGGATCTGGTGAGCAGCTCAGGGATCCCTCCTGCTTCGTTAAAAGAAATGGAAGGATTAGAAAGGATTTTGCTTCTTGGAAGCTTCAAGCTGCCCGTGAAGGGTGGAGGATGCCCCTGGAGAACCAAGAAAACACCAGCACCCGACAGCCCCCCAGGTTAGGAACTCGGGCAAGAACCTCCTGGATCAACAGGTCAGCAGCAAAAATGCTACAAAAAATAGAGGTTTTGGCAAAATTTTCCTGTGTTTAGGCATTGATAATGTGGGTGTTGCTGATTAGCCAAGCCACAGTGTACCTGAATAAATATCTCCTCATTGAGGAGAAGAAAGACCAAGACTATTTAATATCATTATCAATGACCTAGGTGGTGGGATTGAGGGCACCCTCTGCAAGGCTGGTGGTGAATTCATGCTGAGTGATGGGCTGATGTGCTGGAGGGAAGGGATAGGCTCAATAGTGAGTCCATGTGGACCTCCTGAAGTTCAATAAGGCCAAGGGCAAGGTCTTGCACCTGGGTTGGAGCAATTCCTGGTATTAATGCTTGTGAAACAAGGTCTGACATGTCTCAAGGCTACTATGAAGGGCACCAACTCTTGGAGGGGTCCAGCTCTGCTCACAAAGCAGATCTGGCCAACCAGCATAGAATCACAGAATAGTCTGGGTTGCAAAATTCCTTTCAGATCCTCAGGTCCAACCATTACCCCAGCACTGCCAAGGACACCACAGCACATTTACACTCTCTATTTCCAGGAAGAATTTGTTCCCAATATCCAATCTAAAGCTCCCCTGTGCAACTTGAGGCCATTTCCTCTTGTGTGTCCTATCACTTGTTACTTCGGAGAAGACACTGACTCCTCTGGCTCCAACCTCCTTTCAGGCAGTTGCAGAGAGCAAGAAGGTCTCCCCTCAGCCTCCTTTTCTCCAGGCTGAACACCCCCAGTTCCCTCAGCTGCTCCTCATCACACTTGTGCTCCAGACCCTCTTGGAGGGGTCCAGCTGTGCTCACAGAGAAGGTCTGGCCAATCACCATGCTCATGGCTTGCTGATGGTCATCATGGCTATTTGCTTTTGGGATCCATCATCTCCTTGGCAGCCCAGAGTAGGCAAGAGGAAGGCAACTCAGTGAGTTAAAAGGCTAATGAGGAGGAAGGGGAGCTGGTCTGGCCAGAAACACCTTGACCCAACAGTTTGGGGCCAAAGGCCCCTCCACCCATCAAAGTGTTCCTGACATTTCCTCTCTGTTTTTAAAAGCTTCTATTTTTCCTTTAATTCTAAAAAGAAATCAGATCCCAAAAGTCACATCCAGCTGAAAACCCAAAGAGTTCATTCAAACACAGCAGCCTGGGGCCAGTCCTGCAGGGCTGAGTTAGCACGTGCCAAGGGAGCTGGAGCAAGGAAGGAGCTGCCTGGGCCAGATCCAGCAGGACCCAGTCCCAAAAGCCAATGCCAAAATATTTGCAGACACCTGGGGGTCTGGCCACGCTGAACAAAACAAGTGTCCAAGCACAAATCCAGGCTGGGCAAAGAATGGATGGAGAGCAGCCCTGAGGAGAAGGACTTGGGGGCGCTGGGTGATGAGAAGCTCACCATGCGCTGGCACCATGTGCTGGCAGCCCAGAAACCAACTGTGTCCTGGGCTGCATCCCCAGCAGTGTGACCAGCAGGGCCAGGGAGGGGATTGTTCCCCTCTGCTCTGCTCTGGTGAGACCCCCTGCAGTGCTGGGTCCAGTGCTGGGGTCCCCAGCACAAGAAGGACATGGAGCTGTTGGAGTGAGTCCAGAGGAGGCCACAGAGATGGTGTGAGGGCTGGAGCAGCTCTGCTCTGGAGACAGGCTGGGAGAGCTGGGGCTGTTCAGCCTGGAGAAGAGAAGGCTCCAGGGAGACCTTAGAGCACCTTCCAGTATCTGGAGGGGCTGCAGGAAAGCTGGGGAGGGACTTTTGACAAGGGCAGGGAGTGATGGGATGAGGGGGAATGGTTTCAAGCTGCAAGAGAGGAGACTGAGATGAGATCTGAGGAAGAAATTCTTTGCTGTGAGGGTGGTGAGACCCTGGC